CTTTCATCTTTTTTTTCTGTTCCTTTATCACTATCAGACATTTAGTCAATTCCCTTTCTGTTGTGCTGCGATATGATGCTACTTTCCCTGTTTTTTTTTATTGTAAGGATTTGTGATGATGTCACAACCAGAGGAAGCAGCTGTTTGTAGGATATAATTTTTTATTAACTCCTTGTTTCTGATAACCAGCTGTCAGTAATTTCAGCATTACTTGAGTGCCTTTTTCATCTCATGGCTTAGTGGAAATTTTCTTTCCCTATAGAAATCTAGTGATATTTTAGATCTCTACTTTTTTACTTTCTCTGTACTCAGTTTCTTTATTTAGAAAAATGAGGATAATAAAGTTCCTATATCATAAAGGTACTTGTGAGAATAAAGATATAAGGGCTTTCAAACAGTTCCTAACATATAACATAAGCACTCTAAACGTGTTAGTTGTTATTTGTTTTTGATAGAAAGGAGGGAAGGAAATACGTGGTAGTTGCCCTTTAAATAACATTCAGATTCCGGGCTTAGAGCTTGTATGCTATAGACTTGTAGGGGCTGCGTTGGGAATGGCAGAAATGCTTAATACTGCTCAAATATCTTACTTAACTGACAAATACTGGTTATAGCTATTAACTGTTAGCCTGGGTTGCTTAATTTTAACCTAAAAAAGTCATTTAGTAAGCTTCTCAGTACGTAATTAAGAACAACTCTTAATCACACTTCCAGATTACAAAATTGTTTTATGTCTGAGCAAAAGCTCTTCTTAACCCAAATTGAAAAAAAATATGTGGTGTCCTTGGAAGTTCATAATTCAGTACTTTGCCATCAGGGATGCCAGATGTGGTTTGCTGGGGAGAGCCTAAGAGTGCAAAGACCCTGGGATAAAATAAAACAATTCAGATAGAAAAACTGTTTTCCTTGAGAGTAAAGATTTAAAAATGTAAGGTTAGCCTGACCAGTGTGGCTAAGTGGTTGTGCATCTACCTCTGAACCAGAAGGTCACAGTTCATTTCCCCGGTCAGGGCACGTGCCTGGGGTGAGGCTCCTTAGTCGAGGGTGTGGAGGAGGCAGCCGATCAATGATTCTTTCTCATCATTGATGTTACTCTCCCTCCCTCTTCCTTCCTCTCTGAAATCAATAAGAAACATATATATTTTAAAAAGTAAAGTTAGAAACAAGTGTTTCTCAACTTTATTCTATTACTATATTTTAAAAATAGGATACAAATCAAACAAAAAATATAATAATAGAGCATTCATGTGCTCACCCACAAGATTAAGCAGATGTTAAGATTTTGCCAAGTTTGTTTCACATATCTTTTTTGAAAAACAATAAAGCGTAACAGATGTAGCTAAGATACCATCCGCCTTTACTTCTTCCTCCTTCCCCAGAGGTAATTGTTTCCTTAAAGTTGCTATGTATCATATTTTGTACTTCTAATACATGTGTATATATCTAAACAGACTGTTATTTTGTGTCTGTTAAACTTTTATATGATACTTACTCCCATACCAAAGGACAGTGAAATTGCTTCTGTTTTCTTTTTTCCACGATTCCCATAGTGCTGCAGTTAATATCCTTCTTGTGCAAAACATGGGGCTTTCCTCTCACAGACCACCTACAAGTGGGCCTGCTGAGGGGTGGGCATCTTCACCTCCAGCTGTTTCCAGATTGCTCTCAAAAGAGGGTTGTAGTGGGATAGTCTCTCCTGTGATCAGTTTTTATGAGTTCCTCTTTCCCAGCACACTTGCCAGCACTTATATTAGACTTCCAAATTGTTGCCAATTTTAATAGGTATAAAATGTTACCTCATTGTTTTAATTTGCTGTTCCCTGATGATAGTGAGATGATGTTTTCATATATCTATTGGCTTTTCAGGTTTCCTTCCCTGTGAATTCTCTGCTCATATCACTTGCCCATTATTCTGCTAGGTTGCTGTTGACTTTGTCAGGTCAATATGTTGCATATATATATCTTCCCTCAGTCTGCAACTTTCTTTTCACTTGCTTATGGTTTTTGAGAACAACCCACACTGCTGAATTTGGGTTACTTTTTTATTTTTTAGGGAGTTTGCAATAATATTTATAAGTCTCATAGATTTACGTTTCTCCATATACTGTCCTTTGTATCTAGGTGTACATTACTTGTGTAACGAGCTCAGCAGTGCTCCTCTTTTTACTTTTCTGGGAACATTCGTTTGAATGTTTGGTAAAGTTCACCTGTGAAACCATCTGGGCCTAGTGATTTTTGGTATTTAGTGACTGCTTGATTTATGGGGCTGTGTGGAATGATACTTAACTGGTTCTTTTATGCTTATAGGTCTATTCAGGTTTTCTATTTATTGAAAAATTTTGGTAAGTTAGATTTTTATCTAGGAGATTGCTTATTTCATCTGGACTTTTCAAATTTATTAGCAAATGTTATTCCTAGTATTTTCATATCATGTAAATTTCTACCAAATCATGTCCCCTTTTTATATCTGGTATTTGTGCCTTTTGTCTTCCATATCTAATTTTGTTGATTCGGTTTATTATTTATTTTCTTTTTGTTACTTTCTTCTCATAATTTTATGTTCTTTGGGTTTATTCTTACATCATTAATTTTCCGTCTTCTCTCATATACTATGCATTTAAGGCTATAAATTTTTTCCTAAGATCTGTTTTAGCTATATCCCACAAGCTTTGATATGTTGAGAAGCGTTCCCAGACCCAATTTCTATGTGTGCATGTAGACTTCTCCATACCAACAAGCAATTCTCAGACACCAGCAGGGTGCTGGAGAATTCAACTCAATTCTGACACTGGCTTCCCAGAGATAGCATCACATTCCACAGGTTAAAGGTTCAGTCCTACAAGACGGATTCCCTCCCCCAACACATACTTCAAGTGCTAGTCAAAGTCCAGGTTGTTACCTGTGCTTCTGACTCACAGTGATGTTCCAAGGGTTTGATTAATTCCCTAGAATGGCTCACAGAACTCAGCAGGAAAACTTTACTCACTAGGCTCCTGATTTATTATAAAGTTTATTGAAGGATACGAATCAACAGCCAGATGAAGAGATACATAGATGAGGTCCCCAACAAAGGCGCTTCTGTCGTTGTGGAGCGTGGGGCATGGCGTAATGGCATGGGAAGTGCTCCCCAAAAGACCAACCAGCTGTCTTCCTAGGTTTTTATGGAGGATTCGTAGTTAGATTGACTAAGTCATTGGCCTTTGGCGTTGAGCTCAATCTCCAGCTCCTCTCCCCTCTTCAGAGGTCAGGCAGTGGGACTGGAAGTTTCAAACCACTAATCACATGGTTGGTTCTCCTGACTGCTAGCTGCCACCCTTGGATGGGATCCAAAAGTCGCCTCATTAGCATACAAAAGACATCTTTATCACTCTCAACACTAAGGAAATTTTAAGAGTTTTAGGAGCTGTGAACCGGGAACTATAGATGAAGATCAAATATCTTATAAATCACAATATGGCAGTCATGTATTTATTGGTCAGTTTAAACGTCTGTTGGCTATTATAATTTTCTGTTTGAATTATTTAGTAAACTTAAAATTTTTTAGATGCATTGGAGATTTTGGTTTATATTTTTCTGTTTTTAATTGTATTGCATTGTACTCAGAACATGCTCTACAGGATATTGATTCCCTGGTATTTTTTGAGATTTGCTTTGTGGTGTCCTAATACTGCCAAGAAGCCTGCCCCAGTCCCTAGTGTTGTGATGTCTTGCCATAACAAGAGCAGCAGCAACAACAAAAGGGTTCAGTTTTGTGTGGCAGTGATTCCTTTTTGTTCACCAGCTGTTAAAGCTTGTAAGAACCTCAGCATGGACTAACGTTAACTTGTTTGAAAAAGGAAGTAGCTTTTGAACACCTGTTGTTACAACATCATTTATTCTGGTTAATACAAAAATGGTCTAAGCCAGGTTGGCTTGTTTGATTCAAATGTGTACCATGAGCAAATTATGACGGTTACTTATGACCAACATTAAAAACTGTATTTTTTAACCAATGGACATGGACACTGGGGCAGTGGGGGCTTGTCCTGAGGAGAGGGAGTGGCGGGGAAGGGGTCAATGGGGGGAAAGGAGACATATGTAATACTTTAAATAAAAAAACCTGTATTCTTAATGAGATGTAGAACTGGATAATGGATAAGATCTAAGCTTATGTTAATTTAATTACATTGTTCGGCTGGCATTTCTGATTGAAGACGGGTGAGAGATAGACAGTAAAATGTAGTATGTCCTTGAGCCCCTAAGCAATAGCTAAAACGTTTTATTTTTATTTTTTAAATATATTCTATTAATTTTTTACAGGGAGGAAGGGAGAGAGATAGAGTAATGAGATGTAGAACTGGATAATGGATAAGATCTAAGCTTATGTTAATTTAATTACATTGTTCGGCTGGCATTTCTGATTGAAGACGGGTGAGAGATAGACAGTAAAATGTAGTATGTCCTTGAGCCCCTAAGCAATAGCTAAAACGTTTTATTTTTATTTTTTAAATATATTCTATTAATTTTTTACAGGGAGGAAGGGAGAGAGATAGAGAGTTAGAAACATCGATGAGAGAGAAACATCGATCAGCTGCCCCCTGCACATCTCCCACTGGGGATGTGCCCGCAACCCAGGTACATGCCCCTGACCGGAATCGAACTAATTTTATTGCCTTAACTTTGCTGTTCATTTCCAATACTTTAATTTGTATATTCAAGAATATTAACTTATATTAAAAGTTATATTTTGCATTTTGAGTAATATCAAGTTTTTTTTTAGTAGAAACACATGTATAATTTGGCTATCATAGAAAAACACTTTGGCTTTAAAAGACTTTTGTATTCTCTTTTGCTATGTCTATTAATGCAGTTGATTAAACTCTTTGTAGTACTAGAAATTTTGATCTTTAATAGACCATTGAGAGTTTTGGGTGGAGGTGATAAAGGAGAAATGGGTCTGAGAAAACACAAACTCTGTGGCGTTGACATTACCTAATAAATTTGCTTCTCTCTACTTTCAGACTGGTCGAATTGACAAATCCTACCCTACAGTATGTGGCCACACAGGACCAGTGCTTGACATAGATTGGTGCCCACATAATGATCAGGTCATTGCCAGCGGTTCAGAGGACTGCACGGTTATGGTAAGCTCCCAGGGTGTGGCGTAAGATTCACCGACTGCTTGCAAAAACTGTGTGTGTGTGTGTGTGTGTGTGTGTGTGTGTGTGTGTGTGTGTGTGTGTGTTTCGATGCTTGAAAAGCACAAAATCATAGCAGTTTTGATTGTCCATTGTATTATATAGGATTTAGTGACATTAAAGTTTAATGACAGATAAGGCTTTTACAAGAGGTTGTACTATGTTATCTTTTTTCTTTTGTATGAGTGTGTGTTTGTACGTGGTTATTGACAGTTCTGTGGGAAGATTTTAGAGAAACTGAAATGAGTTTCCAATAATTCTGTGAATGCCATTGGACCACATGACCTCTCTTCTCTCCCCAAAAAGAGAGAAAAAACTGTAACTAAGAATTGTACATTACAGTGAAATAAGATCCCAAAGGTTATACAGATAAAAAAGGGGTATGGAACAGATACTGAGACGTAGTAAAGAGTTTTTGCAAGTGTTTCTTTCTAAGCTAACATCAGACGGTGTGTTCTGTCTCGTGGACCCTGGTTAAGAAAGCCCTTTTTGTGCAGCAGTGAAAACATTTTGAAAGGTTTTTAAAGTAAGTTCTATATATTTCCTCATTTGGATTCCAAAAGTAGATTACATATGAAATAAGGCTTTGAGGTACTTTTTAAAAATATTGATTTGAGAGAGAGAGGGAAGGAGAGAAACATCAACTGGTTGCCTCCCGAACACACCCCAACCACCAGGGAGCAAACCCAAAACTTAGGTATGTACCCTGACCAGGAATTGAACCAGCAACCCTTTGGTGCACGGGATGACGCTCCAACCAACTGAGCCACCTGGCCAGGGCTGGTGTACTTTTAATATGAAGCTTCTTGTTCTTGATTATGATCTTAAGATCGTAATTGTTTGGATCAATTTTTAATCTTAGCCCAAAATGTTAGACATAGTACAGAAGGGAAGTAATGAAGTAAGTACTGAAACAGGTGAGTGTAGTAACTGATCAAGTTGCAAGCAGTCTCAGATTCATCACGTGGGGAGCTGAGAGAACCCCTAGTGTTACTTCCCTCTCCATTTTCTGTGGACTGAACCAGACTTAGTAACATTGTTTGGAAGCCTTTATTAATTAAAATTATTTTACATAAACACACGTTAAGTCCAGAACTGTGACATTTAAACATTTACTCATTTTTACTCATGGACTTTTGGCTGAGGATAACTCCTGCGATCTCATAATTTTGGCAGCCAAAACATATTAAAGAAATATGCTGCTGTTAAAAGGAATTGTTCCTTTTAATGTGCACTGCTAAGTTGATCATTTTAATGGCCACGGACATTTTGCTGAGGGGAGAAGAACAGTATTTCGACCTAGTGCCAAAATCTTAAATTGACTGCAAGTCTTAACCTCTCTTGATCCACCTCTTTTTGTCGTCAGCATTATCAGTCATGTTGTCCCTTAAAAAAAAAACTTTTGTATTATGAAACACACTAAAGTTGAATGAATTCAGTTACGTGAATTAAGTGATTTATTACAAAGGGAATACCCACTTGTTTTTGATAGCTCCCTTACTATTTGGTGTGTTAAGGTGTTCCAGCTCATCGTGGACATCCTTTGAAATACCTCAAATTAGCTATTTCTCTCAGAAGTTCTGATTTCTTTTAATGGAAAATGGTATTTCTAGGTCACAATCTGGGTGCTAGGGATGCTGATTGTTACCATGGTGATTATTGTTTTTAAGACTTTGCTATTGTAATAACTATGAATGATGTCAGGTGAGTACTAGACTTACTAGACTTACTGGGAGGAGGAAGAACCTCATAAGTTATATAAAATATCTACTGCCGTATGCTGTACACATGAAACTAATATTGAATGTCAACTGTAATTAAAAAATTAAAAAAAGATTGTAGTAGTAAATGGAGCTAGAATATACATATATATTTAAAGATGTGGTAACTTTTGACTTCATCTTAATATTTCTAGTTCAAATTCAGGGCTATAGAGTTTTTAATCTAACCTCTTTAATATTACATTTCTATATCCTTTCTTCCACACTGAGAATTTGGGTTCTCAAGGATTCAAAGGATGAATTAAAATATCCTGATCTGTCTCATTTGCTTTTTCACAGTATATATACGGTAATCTCAGATGCATTTAAGGTACTGCTTTCAATGGACTACTATTTGAAGTGATGTTTTATACCAGCAAATGCAATTATACAGACCTTCCTCCTAGAAACTATACTTCACTCCTAGGTTTTCCATATTTTTGGTACTGTTGAGTTTTTTCCTCCAGCAATAGCTTCTTATAGAGAGTTTTAGAGAATATGGCTACTGGTGTTATACTTGGGAAAATTTTAGCTCCACGAAAAGAATAATGCTTTAAATAATACAAAGAGCAGCCAAATTAAGTTTTGTGAATGGTGTTGATTTGACATTGTCTCTTATCTGCAGGGTAGTAATCAAACACAAATTTTAAAGACGGCTAATTCAGCAAGGTTGCATGATTGTTTCTGGGAGAAAGAAAGTTTGAAGGCAGAGTAGGTGTCTTATTTGTCTCCAACTAGATGTTCTGAACAGTCACAAATGATTACATTTAAATGAATACTTTTCCATTCTCCCAAATCAGTCTCACACTTCTGTGGAAATCAACAAAAACAAACCCCCTATTTTATACATTTTTGCTTCTGTTGTAAATTTTCCTAATGCAGTTTTTGTCTTGAAATAAAAATGAAAGTGATGCTGTAGTTGGTGATGAGAGCGCGTTCCTCAGGATTCCTGTCCCTCTGTCCTTCACCGGGGCTTCATGTCATTTCCTTTTTGTACAGATTACATCTGGGCCATTTGCCAGTCGATATTACAGCCTTGGCAAATCAGAACCCAGCTCTCAGTTCTTGATTTTCCCAAAGCTAATGTTGTTCTCAATGTCATGGTTCATTTATGAATGTCATGACTCTGTGCCTCCTACCCCGTGGGGTTAGTGGATCTGTAGGGGATTGTGCTGCTCTGCAGCTGCTACAGAATCTGTAACCTCTTCCTGTCTCTTAAGATTATTTATTTCCTTCATTTTCCCTTTGGAATTGGTTTCCTTAGCTTTTAAAAAATATAGCCTTTGGGGAAATAGCCTTTCTTATGGCTGTAACTCTAGTGCCTAGCCCAGTAGCAAGTTCATGATGGGTGTAAAGTAGGGAAGCAGTGTCTGGAAGCACTTTGTGTGTATGCTCTAAATGTGCACCGTGTTTGCTTGAGAAATAAAACCTTCAAACAAATTGCACTTTAAAATTACTGCTTGAGAGAAGCCTAAGCGTCTTAATTTTCTTTGTTTCTTGTTGGGAATATTTTCTTGAGCTGGCCTTTTTCCATATCCAGAGTTTCACATGTGAAAAGGATGTCGGTGATACAGTAGTTCCCGAACATGTGCTTCAAGTTGTTTTTTTCCAGAACCACGATGGGTTTTCACTGGTTGATTCACTTTTTCATCTGGAAGCCTTGGGACTGATTGCGTTTTTCCCTTTCTTTCAAAACAAAACAAGACATTGCCATAGTGATGTGTTATCCAAATACAAAGTTTCAGGAACACATTATTGTTTAAAAACAAAAACAAAAATATCAAGTGGCGGGGGATAAAGCTGATAGCCCTGCTGGGCTGAGGGTTTTTCCTCTCCACTCACTGCATGTCTTTGAAAAAGCTGGTGGGTAGTAGAACCTGTGTCCACAGAGCAGAGGAAAGCTAACGGACCTGCCTAGAGCTCAGAGCTGCCCTCATCTGTGCTGACTGGCCTACGTGTGAACTAGAGCCTTCATGCTTGAGATATTTTGGACGTAAATTAGACTGTTGGGTACAGTGCTCAATTAACTTGAAGATAAGACTCATTCCAAGAAACTATGATGGTCAGACTTAACAATACATGGCGGTCATTGTAACAGCAAGAAAAAGAATCATAAACATATAGTAGGGACTTTTTCTTGCCAAGTGCTGTTTTTAAGCGTTTACGTGCCTGATTATAGTGAATCATTATACCAGCAAAGTAAGGCAGGAATAACTCCCATTTTACAGCTTAGGAAACACCGGCCCTGCACGACAGTTTTGTCAAAGGTCACCCTATTGTGTATTTCGCATTAAGGTAGTGCTTGGGTGTACAAAATGTTTTAGTCCATTTGACCTTTCCAGTAACCACTGAGGAAGCGGAGCTGATGCTGTCTCCAGTATCAAACAAGGAAATTGAGGCTTCACGAAGTGAAGTCCCTTTTTAATGCTAGTGTGGCCAGTTAGCGTCCCATCTGTGACATCCAGGCCAGTGCCCTTTCTTCCACACCAGGCTGCGTCCCCTTTGCACACAAGAATACTAAGCATGTACCCAGTGGCACTTCTGCTCTTTGTTGTCCTGCTGCTGCAGAAGGCACGATCCCTTCAGTCCAAACTGGGCTGGAAGGCCCAGGCCCGGAAGCAGCAGACAGCCCTAAAAAGGGCAGAGAGCCCATAATGACAGGCCTATGAGTAGGGCCAGTGGGCACCAACCAAGGGGTGTGTACGCTTCATGTGGAAAGACTTACAGCTCTGCCGGCTCTTTTCCACAGTCCACAATGGAGAACAGCACCACCTTTATTTACCAGCAGTGGCAAGAGTTCCGTCGTCTTTTTCATTTAGTCTTATAGGCTTTTCCAGTCACTTTCTCCTCCCGCTGTAAAGCCTTGTGTCTGTGCTGTCTTTGTTACTCTGACCTTTTTCCTGTCAGCCACTCAGCCAGCCTCCAGGGGCATTCACTTTTTAGAAGAGTGCTATATGCATCTGTGTTTTTTATTTTGAAACTGGATACTTGATTTCCTTCCTTCCTTCTTTCCTTCTTCCTCCTGTCACCTCACTCCTTTCATCCTTACAGGTCATCTCCCTAGGAAGCCTTCTTGGATATACCAAACTCGAACAGCAAGAAGGTGACCTCATGACATTTGTATTTTCATTCAGCACTTAGCTTATGCCAGCATACCCTTGGTCACATACACTTTGCAATTTCCTTGTAATAACAGTAGTTGCTATCAATCCAGAGCCTGCCTTAATGCCAGGCATAATTCTAAACGCTTTAGATTCATATTCCCACATTGGTCCTCAAAACAACCAAGTGAGGGCAGGTTTATTATTAGTCCCATCTTATAGGTGAGGAGACTTAAGGCCCAGATAGGTTAGTGAATGTTCCCAAGGTCATACAGCTGATACATAGCCAAATCAGGGATTGGACAGTTCGTTGTAGTTCAGGAGCCCATGTTCTTAACTACTGCATTCTACTGTCTCTACTTTTGGAGGGCACTGGTTGTATGCCAGGCACTGTTCTAGGGACCTTATTAACTCATTTAATCCTCACAGCAGTCCTAGGAAGTATAGGTACTGATGTTGCCTCTGTGCACAGTGACGCTGAGTTGTTTGCCCAGGACCCTCACGGTAAGTGGCCCAAACAGGATTTGAACGAGGATCTGTTTGGCTCCAGAGCACGGGCTCCAACCCTCTACATCAGGGGTCCTCAAACTACGGCCCGCGGGTCACATGCAAATACAAATATTGTATTTGTTCCCGTTTTGTTTTTTTTACTTCAAAATAAGATATGTGCAGTGTGCATAGGAATTTGTTCATAGTTTTTTTTTAAACTATAGTCCGGCCCTCCAACGGTCTGAGGGACAGTGAACTGGCCCCCTGTTTAAAAAGTTTGAGGACCCCTGCTCTACATCATATGCCTTGTCTTTGCTGACTTTGGCTTTCAGTCTTATAGAAGTCTCTACTTTTCTCAGTCTTCCCCCCCGCCTGGTAATGGGCTGCCTCATAGTGGCTGCTCAAGAAATGTGTTGCCCACCTCACTCAGCTCCCTCCCCTGCCTAGCCCTCCCCACACTATTGTCTGTGTCCATGGGCTTTGCATATATGTTCTTTAGCTAATCCCTTCACCTTCCTTTATCTAGCCCCCCACTCCCCTCCCTCTGACATTTGTCATTCTATTTCATGTGTCCGTGCTTCTGGTTCTATTTTGTTCATCAGTTTATTTTGTTCATTATATTCCACATATTAGTGAGATCATATGGTATTTTGTCTTTCTCTGACTGACTTATTTTGTCCAGGTCTATACATGCTGTCACAAAGGGTAAAAGTTCCTTCTAATGAGAAAAAAGTAAATGTGTTGCATGAATCTTTTGTTAAAGGTAGTAAAATGGGTTAGGTGCCTGTATTAAACGCATAAACCTAGTTGAAGGAACCATTGAATCTGCCAGAAGTAACATATAGAAGGAACAGAGTTTCCTTATTTTAAAAATTTTATAATAAATGTTTTGCTTCATCATTAAAATTTCCCCGCCATCCAAGGAGAAGATGGTGCAGAGGCTAGAGAAAGATCAAGGTGAAGCTCCATGATGAGCTCTGCTTCCGCCTTAATATTTAAGCTGGAAATGCTGATTATCACCAAAGCCTCCCATCACTCTGCTTCATTAGGGACTAGGGAAACACAGTATTTCATCGTGTTCTGTCAGGCACAGAGGTTTTGCAATCCTTGCAAGAAAACCCAGCAACCCATGGTTATGGTGCCATCTGGAGATGGCAGGTGGTATTACTACTTTCAGTTCTAAGCCTAGGTCAGAATACATCTTGCAGAATGCATTTCCTGTTGAGTCACTAAAGTCTCATTTCATTTGTTTCCCTTGCTGACTTCATGCTTTGATAAAATTAGTAGTCATTTTCTGTTCGTTCTGACCTTTAATATCTTGTTACATTTTAAAAACAACTGTACACAGTCATTTCATATTATTCTGCATTTTATCCAAAGACCATTGTATGTTCTGTTTATGCAGAACAAGTCTTCAAACCAGATGATCACAGGAAATGTGATATTGAAAGATGGGTCCTCTTTCTCTTTTCCAACAGGTGTGGCAGATTCCAGAAAATGGACTCACCCTTTCCCTGACCGAACCTGTGGTGATTTTAGAAGGCCACTCAAAGAGAGTTGGCATCGTAGCCTGGCACCCGACAGCCCGTAACGTGCTTCTTAGTGCAGGTAGGAGCTAAGCAGTCCCCTTCCCCCATTGTCATCGCTTCTTGCAGCCCTTTTTGTGGAGAGGAGCAGCAGATGCCTTTAACTCTGTGCTAAACTGTTTGAAGCAGATCATTAGGAATCCATGAGGAGGCGCAGAGAGCAGTGGCTCCCTGGCCCATACATGTGCATGTGTTCAGGCTACTTTGACAGTCTGCAGAAGATACAGACTTCCTGCTTAGAAAAATGAACAGATACATACTTATTTGCCTGTAATTTCAGCAGATTCATTATTCCTGCTGGGGCCCTCCGTGGATCACAGTTTTAGTTATTCTTGATGTAGTAGAAGGAACACAGATGGGAACCAGGAGCCCTAGGTTCCGGCCCCAGTGTTGCTGCCAACTTTAGGGTGATCTTGTCAGGCAAGTATCCTTCCTTTTAAGGAATACTGTCATTGTTCTCCTTATACAAGTAGTGCGTGTATGTTATATAGATTACATAGAAACAAAAGGAAGAAAAGAAAAATCTATAATCCCACCACCCAGAGGGAACATCATCATTACCATTTCGGTGTTTCTTTCCAGAAGATACTTCTGTGCACACACGAAAATGATTTTAAAAATGAAGATGGGTTCAGAAACTTGCATATATGGTCTTTTTCACATGCTGTTAAATGTTCTTAGGATATTTTTAATGACTCCATTAATAGTCCATTGTCTGGACTATTTAAACCTCAGTTGTTTAAATCAGCCCTTTATTTTTTGATAGTGAGGTTGTTCTTGATTTTTCACTGTTAAACCACTTTCAATTTCTATTTACAGAAATCTGTTTCTTTGTAAAAAATCTGAGATTTTTTCTTTTATAGAAGCAATAGAAAGGACAAGAGGAAGCTTTGTAGGGTGATGGGAATGTCTTATATCTTGATTGTGATGGTGGCTACACAAATATATATACTTGTCAAAACTTCATGAGTGTATATTTTAAATAAATGTATTGTGTTTGTTGCATGTAAATTATACCTTAATTCCTAAAAAAAAAAAAAAAAGTTATACTAATGTTAGTGGTAGAATTTTAAAGATCTTTCCCTTTACCAGTGCAAAGGAGGGGGCAGTTCAGTTTTTAGTGGTGATAAAGGATATTTATGGTATAATGAGTTAAATAAAAAGTTTAATGCCAGGTACCTATTGAAACCAAGGACTGCTTTTCAAAAAACACACTACATAGGATTCTCCTTTTTTAAAATCACAATTGACTATACCTGGGAACCCTTCCAGTGTTCTTACTCAGAACCTCAGTCTAATAAGGAGAGAAACCAATTTCAAAGGTGGAGTTCCATCATGGAATGTCCTGCTCCTCCTCTTATCGAGGTCACACTTACGGTGTGATCAGCAGAGTGCTCCCCATGCTCCCCTTACAAGCACAGGAGGATGGTTGGTTGCAGCGTTCTGCACATTTTAAGCTCTACGATCCATTCTCGGTGGCTGCGGCTACCTGTTTGCCTGTGATGAACAAGGCAGAGGAAGGGTCAAGTCTCCCCCACAGAGCTCTCCTCCAGCTTTTCATACTGTTGTGCAGTTTTCCCGCCCATTCCCTACTTCTCACTCTTAGGTAACTTTTAGGTGTTCTGGATCTTAGTGGCTCATTTTTCTAAAGTGCTTGCAAATTTGATTTATTGGCAAGAATTCGCTTTCAGGATGTCCATCTCTTTTCTTATTTTTCTTTATCTTTGAAATAATGTCCTGGGAGCAGCAAATGATATTCTTTTTAAAGGGTCTCAGGGACTTGGGGCAGACCCTTGAAGGAAGGATGTTGATGAACTGTGGGCTTGTGGCCAAGTCAACAGTGTGGCCTCTTTGAGGACAGTTTCGGAATCCTCATGCCTATGTGACTATACTTTGGGCTTCTCAAATCAGGCTAGTATTGACCTATTTCTCCCCCTTGAAAGATAAAGATCTGTTGTGGGCAAATAGTTAGGCCAGACCTTGCATTTCCCTTCCACTTACTGTAATTTGCTTTGCTTTAATCCAAGACCATGTAGTACATTATCGTTGATTTCAATAGCCTGCTCTCCACCATCTTTGTTGAGTGTCCCAAACAGTTTTTTAAGCTCTTTATTTTTAGCTCCACTGGAGAAGAAGTAAGCTGTATTTATTCTGATGCTTATTTTACTAGAAAAGGAAACTGATAGCCCAGTTAACTCTTAAAAAAACATAGGCCTTACCCTGGCCGGTGTGGCTCAGTTTGGTTGGGCATCATCCCTTGTACAAAAGGTTGATGGTTTGTTTCCAGTCAGGGCACATGCCTGGGTTTTGGGCTCAATCTGTGGTAAGGGGTGATTGATGTCTCTCTCTTTCTCCCTCCCTCTCTCTCCCTCTCCTATCCTCTCTCTCTAAGATCAACAAAAGAAGATATCTATCTGTCTATTTGTATATATGTATGTGTATATATATGAAAGAAAAGGAAACACAGGTCTTGGCCGTGTGGCTCAGTTGGTTGGAGCATCGTCCCATACACCAGAAGGTTGTGGGTTTGATTCCTTGTCAGGGCACATACCTAGGTTCCAGGTTCGATCCCCATTTGGGGAGCATACAGGAGGCAACCTATCGATGTTTCTCTCTCTCTCTCTCTCTCTCTCTCTCTCTCTCTCTAAAGTCAATAAAAACATATCCTCTGGTGAGGATTAAAAAACACAAACAGAAAAGATGGGATTCTATTTTTTTGTAGTTCTTAGTTTTGTTTGGTTTTTATTTGTTTCATACAAACCCAAACTTAACAAACTGTATTTTTACTTTAACGCTGATTTCTTTTATACAAATTTCTTCTTTCTTTGTCACTTTCTTTGTTAAAACTACCCGTAAGTAGGGCCTCTTGTCAGCACCTTCCTTTCAATGCATGTCTTTGTAGTTTCCACAAATGTGCCGTTGTCCAGGCATTTTAATAGCTGTCGACATGGTTGTGCTTGCTCCTAGGCTGTGATAATGCCATCATCATATGGAACGTGGGGACGGGGGAAGCCCTGATAAACTTGGACGATATGCACTCGGACATGATTTACAATGTAAGCTGGAACCGGAATGGCAGTCTCATCTGCACAGCTTCCAAAGACAAGAAAGTGAGAGTAATCGATCCTAGGAAACAAGAGATTGTTGCTGTAAGTATTCTTCAGACAAAAACCCCAGTATTTGTAGCCCTTCGGTGAGTGCGAGCTGTCTGCTTTCTAAGGCGGCCACAGAGGCTGTGCTGCTGGTCGTTGGCCCTCCTGTGTGCAGATGCCTGTGAATCAGAAAAGGCTGGTGCAGGCTTCTGACTGTCTGCCAGTCACTCTTCTCTTCAGAGTTGTACATTTCTAGCTTTTACCCAAGGCTTATCTCTCACTTGGTAACCATTTTTCACAAAGAAACAATGTTTTTATCAGTTCACAAGAGTCCTTAAAAGTTGACAAATGTAGATGAGCTACCCCAAATAGTGAAGAGCATTCCTGGCTTAGTACAAAAAAATTGATTCCCCACCCTGTTCCACAAATGACTATTAAAGTGTCTCACAAAGATACAGCAGGTTATTAACCTCTTGAGAAAAGCATTTGGCGGAGTCCTCTCATGTGTCCTGTCTTTGCAGCACATGGACGTGGGTTGGCAGCGGGGCAGGTGGAAGGAATGAGGCTATTGAGTCAAGTCCTGACACTCGCTAACTTAAGCTGAGGGACCTTAACCAAATCACTTAGTGTCACTGTTTCCTCCTCTGCGGAGGGGAGGTGGTTATTAATGAGACACACACGTACCAGTTAACGTGAATGGCGTGCGGGGTGCGGTTGGGTTCGGTGTATGGGCCCCTATCCTCCCACCTCACCTTCCTTTCTGCAGTTTGAATGTGTGTAATGTGCCTCTGCTCTCTCTTCTGCAGGAGAAGGAGAAAGCGCACGAAGGAGCACGACCCATGAGAGCCATCTTTCTGGCTGACGGCAATGTCTTCACCACTGGTTTCAGCCGCATGAGCGAGCGGCAGCTGGCGCTCTGGAACCCGGTACGCCCTTCCCAGCCTCCCACCAGTTTACACTGGAGCTTTCTCTCTTTTCTGAGTGGGTCTTTGGGTTGGTACATAGATTATGGGGTTCTTAGTGAGGTTTTCTGAACTCCCACTTGTCTTAAATTGGACGTGAAGTTCTCATCCTCACTAGAGACTTATTGCTAACTGTCTTTCCAAAAATGCATTTGTGATACTCCCAAGGAGTCTATGGTGACTATATTTTTCAAAAAGAATGCATGAGGAATTCAGACTTGGGAAATGAGTTCTAAACTTAGTTATATTTTTATAAAGAATATGATCTAAATCAAAGTAGTCATGCTTGAGAACATGCTCATAATCACAAAAGTGGAAAAAATAGAAAACTGGTTCTGGCTGGGTGGCTCAGTTGGTTGGAGCATTGTCCCGCACACCAAAAGGTGGTGGGTTCGATCCCCAGGAGGCAACTGACCAATGTTTCTCACATCGATGGTGTTCTTTCTCTCTCTTTCTCTCTCTCTCTCTCTTTCCCTCTCTAGTCAGTAAAAACATATCCTCAGGATTAAAAAAAAACAACAGTAAATTATTTCTTATTAAGAAAAAAAGCTAAACTCCACATAAGGTATGATCCTAATTTGTGTGTGTACGTGTGTTGGGAGGAAATAGACCAAAATGGTCATGGATTCTGCCACACACTGGACTGTGGGATTATGGCATATGCGATGATTTTTATGTTCTTCCTTGTAACTTTTTAAAGAACATATATTTAATTTATAAGAAAAAAGTACTTTTTAAAAAGAAAAGTCACAAAGGAGAAGGGCACTTTCATCTCTGTCATAGAATCACACTGATATGTGCATTAATTATGTTGTCAAATAAACATAATTTTCAGTGGGTTGGATGCCACTTGCTATCCCTATTGGTATTTACATGTATGAATGTTACATGTGCGTTGTTTAAATTTCAGTATTCTAGGGAAATGGCTAACTTAATTAGGGATAAAGGAATGCATAGTAAGGTAACAAAAATTTACCCCTAAATTGTGTGTGTGTGTGTGTGTGTGTGTGTATGTATATATATATATATATATATTTTTTTTCCAGAAAAATATGCAGGAACCAATTGCTCTTCACGAAATGGACACTAGCAATGGGGTGTTGCTGCCTTTCTATGACCCTGACACCAGTATCATTTACTTATGTGGAAAGGTAAACAGTAATTTTGATGTTTAATATTAAATTTAATCCTGTGGGAGGAAAAGTTTGTCCTTCAGAGATTTAGTAGATGGGCAATGTATTGTATCATTTTAGTTGGTATGTGTGTGCGTCTTACATTATGATTTTGTTACGTGTGGGGTGAGAATGGACTGTTTATAACTTGCCAGATGTGTGGTATTAACCTACTGTGTTCAGTACTCTTGACGGAAGCAGGGATTGGGCAGATGCCGACGGGAATCTTTGCTTGGGCACTCTGGTGAGATGGAGTACGTGCTGGTGTTTTGTTTTCCTTTTTAAAATTTTATTTTTTGTTCTTTTTTTGTTTTAAATTGATTATTGATTTTTACATGCTGGTGTTTTGTATCACTTGGTGGTGCTGTGTGGTTGGTGATTTCAGATTTCTCATTGGTGTTTGCCACATCTCATGCTGAAGTCTACTGGAAGGTTCTAGGTTGGCATTTACTGCTTATTGCTACATGCCATGAACTCTTAAGGAGAATGGTGCTTTGGGAATGTGAGCTTTTGAGGGTCTCAGGGGGTTCTTGTTCCTGGAGTTCAGTGTTAGGGCCCTGGACCGGAAAACGTGTGGCCTGATTTAAGTTTCAGGAAGTGACGGTTGCTCCAGGAAGACCCCACACTGAAATAAAAGGTCTCCTGCCTCGTCTACCTAGTGATCTCTGCCTAACTAAACTGGTGGTGGCTTTATTGCTATTTCATTTCAGCAGGTGGTAACCTCAGTATTTTTCTTTTCCAGTTTTTTTCCTTAGAAGTTTGTGCACATGAAATATATGAATTAATAAAAGTGGAGTGTATAGTCCCTCAAACCTGTTAGGGTACCCCTTGCTGGTAAAGGCCGGATGTTTCACTTCTTCTCGGTTCACTGAGCACACCGCAGAGCTGCTTTCCATTTGATAGGTCAGTCACTTAGAAACGAGATCTTGTCAGGTTTCTTGAAAGTCATTTTACTTCAGATGTTAACAGCTGCATCAAACCAAACACAAGGACATGTTACCCAGAGGTGGTTAACACTGGGTGGAAAATTATTTTTAGTGTGCATAGAGTAAACCCTATGTGTTTAGCTTCTTTTCCATTGCTTTAGATTTTTATTTATATTAAATGGAAATTGTGAAGACAGAAGATTGTTAGAGTGTGATACTACCTAGCTATTTATGTCTTCGTGGGTGTGTGTCTTCATATATATATATAAAATATATAATGTAAAATATATATATAAAATAGTGTGAGTGTGTGTGTGTGTGTGTGTGTGTGTGTGTGTGTGTTTTCTACCAGGCAGAATTGCCTTGTTGTTCAGGTTGGTATAAATGTGTGACCATTAGACAATTATTTGTACTTAGAGAGACTAGCAAGATTATTATAGAATTTTATACATTGCAATGAGATAGAAAACCTTGTGAAGTTCAAGGAGATCACTAAAACGAAGGTTTCTTAATTAGAAAGTCTTAGTTTTTATTATCATCCGATTGTCTGACGTTAGTGCCCTCAGGTCTCTGAACGACACTGCTGTTTGCCAATGAACAACTAACTCAAAGCAGTAGTCACCTTCTCAGTGGTCCTTCTGGTCTTTCGTGTGTCTTTTGAAGTTGAATTGCAATGCAGTTGCTTGGCAGAGGCGTTACAGTTTTGCCTGACTCTGTCTTGGCATCTAGCCCTCAGTAAAGGGGATGCTAGTGTTTGATAGGTGAGGGCTTACTCTGCCGGGATGAGAAACCATCACGTGCGTTAGGCCTTTAAGGGGAAGAAAAGGCCAGCCACTGCAGCAGAGTCCTGATTAGCGCTGGGTTTATAGGGGAGAGAGATGGCCACTTAAATCGGATGTTTCAGTCAGTAGTAAACACACACATGTCTCCCATTTCTTGTAGGGTGACAGCAGTATCCGCTATTTTGAGATCACGGATGAATCCCCGTATGTCCACTACCTCAACACATTCAGCAGCAAGGAGCCTCAGAGAGGGATGGGTTACATGCCCAAGAGGGGACTCGATGTTAACAAATGTGAGATTGCCAGGTAAAGAATCGGCATGTAAAGCATTGGAATTGTTCATACCATCTGTGTTCTGCAAGAGCAACCCAACCACATGCAATTCTGTGATGCCCGGGTCTTTCTACCCTTGTGTGCGGCCCAGGATTAGTGTCTCATTTCCTGCCCCTCCTTAGAAGCAGGGGTTTTAGAGCAGGGAGGCACCTTTCAAAATCATCTCATCTAAACAGGCCCCTCCCCATTCTTCAGAGTCTATGACTTGAAGTGCAGCGGGTACAGTGGCTTCGTCTGCGTGTGCTGGACACTTACTCAAATAGTGAAACCATCATCTCTTATATGCAGGCCGAGGTTGGGGCCAGGGTCCCTGGGATGGAAATAAGGAATGGTGTTCCTGCCCTGTGGGAGGATGAGCCAGGTTCCAAAGTAGATTGTGGACCTCACGGATCCTAAACTAGGGAAGCCAAAGACCTACAGTGGGGTGTTGGGTTGGGGGCCCCTTGATTTGGGAAGTGTGATAGAATTCCCACCCCTCTGTACTACGCTAGATTTTTAAAAAATTTCTATTTCATAATGCTAGTGGGCTTCCTAAGGGGAAGGCTCTTTTCTCATGCTAGTCAACAGAAGATACTCAGGAGACTCACCACTGGCCATTTTAAGCAACAGAACTAGGAGCACCATCTTATCAGGCTAAGATCCTAGCACGCATTATATAACACTCCGTTTCTACGCATGTTTGTCTAAGTGTGCTATTCTGCTCACACACTTGTTAAATAATTGACACATCTTTAAAAATAAAAAGAATTTTTAAGCTCTTTGTTATATTAATCAGTATGGGTTGTTGTTGTTGTTGTTGTTGTGTGTGTGTGTGTTTAGTTTAAATACATTCAGCTCTGTATTGGTACTATCTAATAAGTCATTGTTTGTTCTCTCCTGTCTGTTGACCTTATCATTTTCACAAATTAATCATTGTCCGTGGTGTTATTCCCACCACAGTTGATCTGACCTCAGAGAGTTGGAATTCGACTGTCACCATCATGCATAGAGCTGTTCCTGGTTCTTGTCTCCCATGCACCATTTCCTTGCGTAGCTACGCTCAGCTTCCATTTTGTCATCTGTAAACTGGGAATGCTAAGTTCTGGTGGGGCAACTGGGGTGGTGAGCAGAGCCTTTTGTCTCCCTGGAGCTTTGTGGAAAAGTGGTTGTTAGTGAGCCTGTTGGTTACTTGGCCTCCTATTTTACTTAATGCAACTTTGCCTTTATTTCCCTTTTGAAGATTCTTTAAACTTCATGAGAGAAAGTGTGAACCTATTATCATGACTGTTCCCAGGAAGGTAAGTGCCCAGTTTTCTAAGCAATCTATGCTTTTAAAAGTTTTTAAATCCCCACCTTTCTTCTTCCTTACTTAAGGGTTTCCCCAAAATGTCTCTTGTAGTCGGACCTTTTCCAAGATGACCTGTATCCTGACACAGCGGGGCCCGAAGCCTCGCTGGAGGCAGAGGAGTGGTTTGAGGGGAAGAACGCAGATCCAATCCTCATCTCCTTGAAGCACGGATACATTCCAGGCAAAAACCGGGATCTCAAGGTGGTGAAGAAGAACATTCTGGATAGCAAGCCCACTGCAAACAAGAAGTGTGACCTGATCAATGTCCCCAAGAAAACCGCAGACACGACCAGTGTGGTAAGGCCCACAGGAGGGTGAGGGTGTGCATGGCTGGCTCAGGCCTGGTCCTCTTGCAGCTCCTTCTAGTCCTGGCACTGGCAGTGCTGTCCCAGCTGTGGACAGAGGGGCTTTCGGTGAGTGACAACACCCAATATGATAAAAATGTCCTGTCATGACACTGGAATTGGGGCCATGTTTGGCTCCTTTAGGTCTTTTTTATAATGACAGTCTAGTATGGTCTTGGATAGTAAACTGGAGCCCTTTGGGTTTTTCTTAACTGTCTTTTCCCAAACTGTACACCCCACCCATCTCTGATGGGTAAAAGGAACATGAGGGCGTGGGTCACAGCCGCCCAGAAGAGAAAGTCCTGGGAAGGAGGGAGTTACGGGTGGGCTCTGATGTTGTTGAGTGAGTGATAGAGGATCGGCCAGTGAATGGGACTTAGCCACTAAGATGAACGTGGGTAGGAGGTGGGGAGTGGACGGGCTGTGGAACAGAGTTCCAGGAGCCGGAGGGGAGGGCGGTGAATGGTCAGTGGGAAGGTAAACGGAATGAAGAGGCAAAGTGCCTGGAGATGCTGGAGTTTTGTCCATGACTGAGGAAGCCATGTGGACTTTGGTGATTGCAGGGTTTCCAAAGGAATCATTTTCATGCAGGGGAGGCTCAGGCCTCTTTAGAACAGTTAGCAGGGCAAAGGATTTAGCTCCCAAGAAGGCTTCTGGAAGGAGCTCTGTGGCCTCTGGAAGTTTGCTCCTCACCTTGGTCAGATAGAGGTCACTTCTGGTGGAATTGCATGATGGGGATTTAGGGTGGCCTAGGAGAATCAGTCTTGTCCTGCAGTTCAGTTGTGGCATCCAGGTCGTGCACAGGCACAGGCTAGAAGCAGCACTGTGAGGCGCTGTTGTTTTGTTGGGGGCTTCAGATGGACCGGCCAGCATTAATTACTTGCTCATGAGGCCCAATCTGGCGGCTGTGGCTTTTTGCTCCTCCCACAGTGGAAAATTCCATTCTCTGCCTTATCATTCTCACTGTGTTGACCTTTGTGTACTGTTTTTTAGTCACCCTCTTCCCCTCCCTCCTTTTTTTTGTTTCCTTAGCAAAATGAAGCCAAGTTGGATGAGATTTTAAAAGAGATCAAATCTATAAAAGACACAATCTGCAATCAAGATGAGCGTATTTCCAAGTTAGAACAGCAGATGGCGAAGATAGCCGCCTGAAGGTCCACCCCACCCCCCAAATGGGAGCAAGAACTCGGGCTTGGTAGCTGGTTGTTGGTGTGGTCCCGGGGAGGGCGAGAGGGAGGCACTGCCATTCGGAGGCATTCATTTCAGATTTGTCAACCAGCGATAGGCCCCATTCCAGTCAGAAAGCAACTCGTCTCCCAAATTTGCAGAAATGTGATTTAAAAGCTGAGCTTTTTATCAGAAAGCTTTTTTGATGTTTTAAGTGTTATATGTGACTTGTTGAAATTTTAAAAGACAAAAGTGCTACTTTTAAAATCCAAGATACTCTGAATTTTAGGAAACCAACCAATTATGATTCAGTTTCGTGCCCAAGTACCTTTTTTTTAAAAAAAAAAAAAAAATAGGGACAAATGCCACATTGCTTTTTATATTTCTTCTTCTTTTTTTTTTTTTTTAATGTTGCCAAACCAAAAGAAGCTTTTTTTTTTCTTTGTATTTTGCTACTTTGCAGTATTTGTGTGTGGGGTTTTTTTTTTTCTCCTTAATTCAAAAGGGACAGCACTGTGTATGTTTATAAACTAAATGAAGATAAGATATTATTTTGTATAAACATTCATCTGAGAACAATCAGAGCAGTAGCCACATCGTGCTGGCTCGTTTGCAGCACAAACCTGGTCATTGTAATGACTGTACACAAGGAAGACTTGAAAAATCACGTGAATTCGTATTACCACTCCTCTCCTTTCATCGGGTCTTCTGGTCAGAAATGCGCATCGTATCGTTTACTTTCCTCCTTTCTCTTTTGTAGAAATTGGGTGGTTGTACCAGATGGAATTTTGCTTCTTGGTCACCCTGTGCTTCAGATGATTATAATCTAACCTAAACTAGCACGTGTTCCTGCAGTTTTGTTGTCCACGTAGACGCTGTTGCATTCATCACTTTAAACATCATGTTTCAGGTTTCAATCAATACTTGACAAGGGTGCCCGGGACAAGAAGACACACGTACTGTGGAGTGTTCCCTCTTGCCCATTCCAGCAGCTTGCCTAGCTCTCGAGTGCAGTGAGGGACTGAAACCGAGGGAACTCTGAGGGGAGTGTCAGCCCCGCGCGGTCCTCTGCTTTCCTGCACGTCCCATGCCGACCCCGACCCCGTGCTGTGCTGGAGGAAGAAGCGGCTCTTCATGCACCACCGAGCTCCTGCCTCCCTCTTCCTCGAGTAGGCAGCCGCCTCTCTCAGGGCTCCCAGCCATTCCTCTCTCCTTCCTGCCTTTCACCCATAACTGCTTTCAGCTAAGGTGAGGCCACAGGGTGCTATTGAATACGGAGACTGAGGGGAATGGTCTAGGATGGAGCCAGACCAGGAGCGCAGATCTCTGCTGTAGCTTTAATGTGTACAGAAGGGTCCCTTTGCACCCTGCACACACACTAACCCGCTACACCCCTCCAGCTCGCACCCAGGCTTTGTCAAAGCACAGAGGCTCCCCAGACTCGGGGTGGGGGGCGGCCCACAGACTGAGCTCTGCTCACCCGTTCCATTCCAGGGTCCGCTAGAACTTCCTTCCATTTCCATTTTGTCATATTGCATGTTTGAGAAACAAAATTTAAGAAGCCTCTGTTTTGCAAGGAGTGAGTGTCTGTGATTGAACGTGAGACATATAGTGCCATTGGGACCACAACGGGAACTCGTTTGCACATGCTGGTGCTGGTGTGGGGCCAGGACTGGCTGGTGGCATTTGAATACGGGAACCAGGATGGAGGCAGAGTGTGGACAGTGGGTTGGGATGCACAGGCAAGCTGGGGGGTGTCTGCATAGAAAAGGTACCATGTTCTTAACCGATTCTGGGATTGCTGTCTCCATAACTCCAGGGCCTCTGAATGTTTGGTGTGGTTTTGTGTCTGTGTGTATTTTTAACATTGAAGTGGATAATGGGACATAAAATGGTAATTACAGTGACATATTCAAACCTGTACGTTTCTTTATCAACGTAATCTGCTGAGGACCTTCATTTTTAAGATTCAGAAATGTTTTGAGGTTCTGATGTTAAATTAAGTAAAAGTGTTGCTGATGGTGGTGAAACACCCTAGGGAATGTGGTGCAAAGGGAAGAGGGAGGACAGGAAAGTCGCCCTGATCTCAGTGTGCTTGTTTAGTGAACGATGCCCAGTTAGGCGCGGCCTCGCCTGCAGCAGTGTGGATTGTGTTTCCTGTTTTGTCTTTTTTTGTTTAAGCCGTGCTATCCCAGAGGAGAACCAGTGAATTACTCCCAGATCGGCTCTTATAGAGCAGCCATAGTATTCTGTCAAAACACTTGCTTCCATTTTCAAAGATAAAAAAAAAATCCTTGATTACAAAATGGTGTCCGTGTTCATTTCACACCGCGGCGGTCTCTGAGGCGACCCTCTGTGTCACTGCTCCTGACAGGTGACTGTTCCTCCCCGCGGGTAAGTACAGGAAGTGTGGGGGGCGCTTGGCTCCAGCAGGAGGGGCCAGCGTCCCGGGCCTGGATATTTGAATCCTGCTCACTGCCTTCGCCAGGGGGTGACCTGGGCAGGTTGCCTGACCTCAGGGGATCCCTTTTCTGCCTGGAAAGAGGATGGGGATTTCATTCTGCTGTAGATGAGAGAATACCTGTGTCTGACCCCCCAGGAAGCCCTCATTGCACAGCTGCCCTTGTTACTATGAGCAGATTCCCTGACAAGACCTTCGAAAGCATTTTTTTCGTTCAGTAGAAGGAAATTTCCCTTTGGGTTGGCTGTGATTTTTATTCCAGCAGAAGGCTTTCAGGGTCACTTAAATGTCATGGCCCTTTTTCAAGGGCTTCCCTTTTTGCACTAAAACATCATCTCATAACGTTCAGTGATTGTGGCAAAGACTTTCCCACTGTTTGGTTTTTCTAAACGGCTGTGAATATGACCAGTCGGTGCACAGCTTCCCTTCCAAATACTTCTAAAGTTGCTGAGAAGAATGGCGGCCTGGGCCGTGGTCAGTCCGTGGCTGCAGGAAGTGGAAGTTGGCAGATGCTGTCTGCAGCCCCTCGGCGCCCAGGTCAGGGGGGCGACGCGTGGTGTGGGGTGTTTATGACTGACTTGGCACCTCGTTTCTTTGCCAGAAGACTCAAAGGTCACCATGCTGGCCCCAGACGGCCAGCCAGGCTGCATCGAGGGAGAACTTCCCCTTTTTTAAAGGTGACTTCCCTTGCTGTACTTGATGTTGGGTCTGGAAAAGTTTTGTTGGTTCTTAGGAATCTGTTAACTCTAAGTGGCCTGGCCGCTTTCTGCTGGCCCCTGAGAACACCCTGCAGCCCTCGTCACTGTCAAGGACACACCTTTTTCAGACGGGCCAAGCTGGACAGTGCCCCTTGTTCCTTTAAAAAAAATGTTTTAAAGTCCTTTTCTCCACTGTTAGAGGTAGTTATGCAGATTGGCACAGCCTTTCCAGAGGGCAGTGTGACAGATATATCAGAAGGCTCACATGTTCTTACTATTCTTTTTACATATATTTTTATTGATTTCAGAGAGTAAAGGAGAGGGAGAGAGAGGTCTAGAAATACCAACATTAAGAGAGAATCATCGATCGGCTGCCTCCTGCACGCTCCCCACTGGAGATCGAGCCCGCAAACCAGGCATGTACCCTAACCAGGAATTGAACTGTGACCTCCTGGTTCATAGGTTGACACAGCCACTGGGCCATGCTGGCTGGACACATGTTCTTACTTTTGACCCATGATTTCACCTCGGGGAATTTTGTCCCAGGGAAACTAACAGATCTATTCAGGAACGAGAAGAGGAGAAAAAACAGTCCAGCTGGTTAATTTACTTGTCACATCCATATGTTGTAATATTGTATAGTTCAAGTCATTTAATAGTATTTCAGGATATTGGGCTTCCACCACCAGTATATCGCAAGTGTCTTACAGTGAACTGTTACTAATGTCATCAGAAAAGTGAAATTTGTGTCACAAAAAAAGAATTCTGTCCAACTCTCTCTGCCTTGAAGTCACTGTGAGGTAAATGGTGTTAGTTGGCGTATAAAAGTACTTTTTTCAAAGGTAAGATGGGGAGGGTGTTGAGTCCGTTAGACTAGACTTGTTCATACAAACATAAAAGGCCTGGCTCCATGACCTTGAATAAAGATGGATAAAATAGAATACCCACCCCAGAAGGGATGTTTTTGACAAACCCTTTTAAGGGTATATGCACATACAGTGTATATTTGTGTGTAGAGTAAACGCCACAAATGTTACTATGTGGACGTAGCAGTCATGGATAATCTATTTAATCGGATTTTTCATATCAATGTCTTCATTCCCAGAAAGAAATTATTAAAATTAGTGTATGAATGATAAATCAGCAATACATTAAAACAAGCATCACAGATCAGTGGTGGGAGGAAATGGTGTGGTTAAGTAGCTCAGGGCATGGACTCGTTAGAGCCTCCTGGTGACACCATTGTACATTGTTAAGTCAATAGTTAAATGAAAGGAAACTATTTCAGATTTAGAAAAAAAAAGTAAGTTCCTCCTTGTCTAGACTTAAGACTGGGGAAAACCATTTGTGATTTTAAAATCCCAAAGCAATGGAATAAATCACAGAGGAAGAGAGAGATTGGCTACATAAATATCAGACTTTAAGATGTCAAAAGATGAAGGCTGTACAGACTGGGAAATACATTTTCAGCCAATATGATATGGGATGTATATTTTAATATGCTCAATCTTGTTTCCACCTGCCACCTCTGATTGAAATGGGGTGATGTCACCTCCCTAGTGGGATGTGTCCAATTTTAAGTCCCAAAGGATAGCACCCTGGTCCCTGGCCCCACCAATTTAGCCCACCAGCAAGCAGTTTATCAGACGTCGGGGTGGGAGGACTTTGCTAGGAGGCACGGGTCCTGGTGTGCTTCATGAACCTTCTCCAATTGCAAGTTCTGGAAAAGGTGGAAGGGAGAAGTGGGGAGTGGGAAATAGCTCCAGATCCAAAGATACTGGCTGCAACGTTTGCTAGATCAGTTGGAATGTGGAGGGAGGCGATTTTAGAGAGAGGCTGGGGGGAGCTTTGAAATTCAGTGTCATTTTACTCTACTGCGTGGAGAGGAAACTGGGTAAGAAAACATTGTGTAAGAAATGGGGGCATGAAGGGTTTGTGTGGGGAACACACGTGACAGACTTCATGGTGAGGGACCTTGGAAAGAATGCCAGCCCATTGCCCAGGGAAGACAAGTGACTCCAATGCTCAGCTCAGGAGTCCGAAGGCAGGTGAAGAGCAAGTAGATGGGTCTCTTACCAAAAGGCAACCATGTGCTCTAGATGGGGACTGACCTCTAGCTGCTTAGGTTTTTCTCGTTTTAAATGGAGGCTTACATCTCAAAGACTAAGAGTTTGGGGGAAAGGGTTTGGTGGTTTGGGGACAGCACCGGGGAGAAATGATTCCAACGGGATCCCAGCGGTCAGCTGCAGGCTTAGGGGAAGCTTCGGGTTGAAAGTGACATCAGTTTCACAGGGGAGGCGCCAGGGCCTCACCTGGTGCCAGGTGCTGTGTGCACCAGGGCTTCAGGTACAAATAAGGCGCCGTCCCCACCTTCCTGGCCAACCTGGGGTGTGAGTAGATGACAGTGCAGGGTGCCTTTGGGCCGTGAGGTGCTAGGGAAGCTGGGGAGGGGTTGCCAAGTGTGTTAGCCTCGCCTCCACCAGGTGCCTCAGGTCCCGGCAGCAGGGCTCGCCTTCACTATAGTGAAGCTCTGCTGTCTCATTCCTCATCCTGCCTGCCCCCCAGACTGGTTCTGTTTATCCTGGCATTCACTGGGTCACTGTTTTTACAGTGAGAGTGTAAAGGTCCTGGCGAGTGGCCAAATGGCCCAGCAAGGAAAGGTGTTGAGGCTCCGTGCCTTGAGGGTCAAGAAGCCAACCATCAGGATTTCAGCAAAAAAGAATCCAAGCTTGGGGACGACATCGACAAGCCTGAGAACCTGAGAACCGGGAAGTTGCGCCATAAACAACAGGAAGCTGTTGCAGGTTTGTTTCCCCGCCCAGATGCCCTTTGGGTTGTGGAAGGTACACAGAGCCTCTCATGGTTGCCAAACGCCTCAGCTGCGGTTCCAGAGTGACACGAGTTCTTGTCACCTGGCCAGGGTCTGCCGGAGGCAGCGTAGCAGAACATCAGGAAAGGCGGCAAGATGATGATTTTTTAAATCCTCACCTGAGGATATGTTTTCATTGATTCTTAGAGGGAGGGAGGGCGAGAAAGAAACATCGATGTGAGAAAGAAACATCTATCAGTTGTCTTCCATACACACCCCAATGGGATCGAACCTGAAACGTAGATCTGTGCCCTGACTGGGAACCAAACCCGAAACCTAAGTATGTGCCCTGACCAGGGACTGAACCGGCAACCGTTTGGTGTACAGGACGATGCTCCAAGCAACCGAGCCACCCGGCCAGGGCGAGATTTTTTTTTTTTTTAATTTATTGCAGTGACATTGGTGAGATTGTTATACGGGCATCTGGGCACCTGCCAGAAACCTTCTGTTGTAGAGACCAGACCATTTTTTGAACTGGTTCCTCTATCTCCACTCACCTGTTCCCTTTTTTGTTTCCAGAGTGATGTGTTCTAGCACAGAATCTGTCAAGATTTCCCAGGGAGACACAAGTCCACACGCTCTGAGAGCCCCCAGGGCCCCTGCCTCCCAGCCCACCTGATCCCTGTCTCCTCTGCTAACCCCACACATAGGCTGTCAACGACCCATGTTGGCTCCAGCTTCAAAGTACATCCATATCCCACTGCTTCTCCCACACCTTCACTGTCACCCCACTCGTCCATGCCCTCCTCATATGACTCTGATGTGGACTGAGCGCCTGTGTTAGGGTTCCCCAGAGAACCCATAGGATGGGTACAAATATATGCAGAGAGATTCATTATAAGGAATTGGCTCACACAGTTACGGAGGCCAACCAGTCCCAAGCTCTCCAGTCAGCAAGCCGGACACTCGGAAAAGCAGATGTTCCATTTGAGTGCCATCTGACCGTCAACTGGTTAGACCAGGCCCACCCACAACACCGGCAGCCCATCTGCTTTTCTCAGTCTACCCAGAAACACCCTCCCAGCACCCTCACAGTTTGACCAAATATCTGAGCACCCTGGGGCCCAGTCACATGGAGACAAAATGACCAGCACAGCTTTCAAACCAAGCTTCCTGTCGTCCCCTGCGTTAGTCTCAGCACAGCAACCGAGTAACCTGTTAAGGCCCTGAGCCAGGGCTGGGCAAACAGGCCCGAAGGCCAAATCCAGACCTCCGGGAGCTTATGGAGCCCACAAGCTGAGAGTAGCGTTTACATTTTTAAATGATTGAGAAAAACCCAGAGGGACAGTGACAAGTAGAACTCACATGAAATTAAAATTTTAGTGTCCTTAAGTTAATTGGCATCCAACCACGCCTCTTTGTTTCAGCATCGTCCATGGCTGTTTTTTTACATTTGCAGAGTTGAGTAAATGCAACCGAGACCCTGTGGCCACCAGTAAAATATTTACTATCTGGCCGGTTAAGAAAAAGCTTGCTGACCCCCGATAATTAGGCTCAAACCCCTCCACAACCTCTCATCCCACTCAGAGTAAAAGCTGAGATCCTCACGCCTGGCAGAGGCCACCTGTCCCTGCGGTCTCTCCAACTTCCTCTCCTGATTCCCACCCCACTCCACCCCCCGCCATGTTCACAAGGCCTCCTGCCTCTGAGCCTTTGCATGTGCTGTTCTCCCTGGACCGCCCATCCTCCTCCCACCTCCAGCCCCTGCACGGCTCCCCACTCCCCTCCCTCCCCTGCCATCTTCCCCTTTACATTTTATTACCATCAGATCTCTGGACTCTGAGTTGGTGCCGGTCTCCCCCCAAATCGAATGTAAACTCCGTGAGGACAAGCACTTATTTCCTTCTCGATGGTATCCTCAGGCTCTGGCACATCATATCAGTAAATATTTGTTGAAGGAATGAATGAATGGAAAATACAGACATCTGGGATGGGGGTGCCTAGTGGATTATCTGTGTGGCAGGGACTTGCTTCCAGAATCCAGCTCTCCCCTGGCCACAGTTGACCCCAGGCTGGGCCACCGCGCTCCTGGGAGTTCCCTGCCGTGTGTCCTATCTGAGTTTTTGTTTACAGGGACCTGGGAGTTGGGGAAGCCAGGGAGCCAGCAGACAGAGCAGATGCACAGTGTTGAGGAAGGACTTCTGGGTCCCCTTTGCTCCCTAAGTCCCCACCGAAGGTCCAGCTGCATTTCTGACCTTAAATCCCACGAGCTACCCTGGGAATCCTATTGCCACTGAAGCCAGTTTGAGTCCTTCCTCGGGCAGGTCTGCTTCAGGACCCTCTGCGGCCCCAGGTCCAGAGCTCTGCATCCCTGCACCGCCCAGGGCTAGCACTTGGGTGGCTGCCTTGGCCTGGGTTCCTTCCGCTGCTAACCTTTCTGGTGCTGCTAACCTTTCTGGTGAAATCCTGGGTCTGGAGCAGGTTTCTAGATTGGATTGCCCTCCGACCGAGTTTGGGACCAGCCCCTGAGCTGGCCACCCTCTGGTGCCCAAGCCGACCAGGTGACCCCTGGAAGCCCTGTCCTCCCTCCCTCTGGAGGAAGCCTGCTCCTGGGCCTGGGCTGAACAGGAACTCCCGGCAGTTCCGTTCCCATTTGAGAAGGGGAATTGCGTCCTAGCTGCAGTGGCCCCAGAGTGGCCATTTCCCCTTTAAATGACTCAAATAGGCAATTCTCAGCCTCTGAGCCTTCCCGAGGACTAGCAGGGAAGCAGTTGGGTAGGATGCCCCCCCCCCCCCCCCCCCCCCCCCCCCCCTGGGCCTCTCTGTTGTCTATTTTTCGAGACCTTTGTTTTTATTTGAATGAAAGGTCCCGTGGCCGGCAGGTAAATTAGGTAAATTCACACAGGTCACCATAACAGATAGAATAATGGAAAAGTTTGAAATATCGCCAGGATTACCAAACATGTCACTCAGAGACAAGTGAGCAAATGCCTTTGGGGAAATGGCACCGATAGACTTGTTCTAGGCAGGGTTGCCACAAACCTTCAATTCGTAAACCAAAAAAAACACACAAGGAAACCCACCCCCCAACGGTACATCTGTGAAGTGATACAGCGAGGTGTGCCTGTATAAGGACACACCCACGGGGGCACCCGTTTGCATTTTGAAACAACCTGTGTGCAGGGCGGGGTGTGCGCCCCTCGGCACCTGTCCTGAGCCCCACCTCGTGCAGAGCACAGGCCACACTCTGGAGAGCTCTGCAGCCCCAGGCCCCAGCCTTTGCCCATGGACTGC